CGGTGACACTGTTAATACTGTTCTGTTATGTATGTGATGGACGTGACACTGTTAATACTGTTCTGTTATGTATGTTACGGACGTAACACTGTTAATACTGTTCTGTTATGTATGTTACGGACGTAACACTGTTAATACTGTTCTGTTATGTATGCGATGGACGTGACACTGTTAATACTGTTCTGTTATGTATGCGATGGACGTGACACTGTTAATACTGTTCTGTTATGTATGTTACGGACGTAACACTGTTAATACTGTTCTGTTATGTATGCGATGGACGTGACACTGTTAATACTGTTCTGTTATGTATGCGATGGACGTGACACTGTTAATACTGTTCTGTTATGTATGCGATGGACGTGACACTGTTAATACTGTTCTGTTATGTATGTTACGGACGTAACACTGTTAATACTGTTCTGTTATGTATGCGATGGACGTGACACTGTTAATACTGTTCTGTTATGTATGCGATGGACGTGACACTGTTAATACTGTTCTGTTATGTATGTGATGGACGTAACACTGTTAATACTGTTCTGTTATGTATGTTACGGACGTAACACTGTTAATACTGTTCTGTTATGTATGTTACGGACGTAACACTGTTAATACTGTTCTGTTATGTATGTGATGGACGTAACACTGTTAATACTGTTCTGTTATGTATGTTATGGACGTAACACTGTTAATACTGTTCTGTTATGTATGTTATGGACGTAACACTGTTAATACTGTTCTGTTATGTATGTGACGGACGTAACTCTGTTAATACTGTTCTGTTATGTATGTGACGGACGTAACACTGTTAATACTGTTCTGTTATGTATGCGATGGACGTAACACTGTTAATACTGTTCTGTTATGTATGTGACGGACGTGACACTGTTAATACTGTTCTGTTATGTATGTGATGGACGTGACACTGTTAATACTGTTCTGTTATGTATGTTACGGACATAACACTGTTAATACTGTTCTGTTATGTATGTTACGGACGTGACACTGTTAATACTGTTCTGTTATGTATGTTACGGACGTAACACTGTTAATACTGTTCTGTTATGTATGTGATGGACGTAACACTGTTAATACTGTTCTGTTATGTATGCGATGGATGTAACACTGTTAATACTGTTCTGTTATATATGTTATAAATGTAACACTGTTATTAATATTAGTGCTCAGCCCTTGCACATTCATGGGTTTGAGCTAAGTAAGCACAGCTTGGTGGCTTCTCAACTAATCCTAATGAGAACCCTGTGTAGTAAGAACTGTTAATGCCCCATTTTGCAGATGAGGAAACTGGGCCACTTGGTGGTTAAATAACTTGTCTGGTGCTGGGTGAGAAGCAAGAGGGAAATGGTCCTTCGATGCATTGGGAGGGAAGTCGGTGAGATTTTACAGAGAACCGCCAAGAGTGTGAGAGATAATAACACTGCCAACAGTAACATTGCCTACCAGCCTTTGGGTGCAAACAGCAGCTGCTGTTTATTAAGTGCTTACCATGTTTCTGGCATGGCTCTGAGGGCTTTGTCTGTAGTCATCTAGTCACCATGGCAAACCAATAAGTCAAGAAATTCATAATACACATTGATATATTAAAGGCACTGATAAGTCCTGATAATACGATAAGTAAAGAAATGTTATCATCATCCTCATTTTCTAGGCAAGGAAACTAAGTCACAGAAAGGTGAAGTAGTGTGTCCAAGGCTGCAGAACGAGGAAGTGGCTTAGCCGGGACTCAAGTCCGGAGCCTGTGCTGTGCTCTTAACCCTGTACTCTGTCACTTCTCTGGGGCTTACCAGAGGTGGGGTGCTGGGCTTTTTCTTTTTTCTTGCTCTTGTTAGGCTATTTCACAAAGACAGACACTGAGACTCAGTGAGGGATGCAGGTTGTTCAGGCCCTTACAATGAATGAGGAGCAGACCACCTCCCCTGGGGCACCGGACGCCAGGTCAGAGTGAACAGCACTGACCTTCACTGTGCCGCTTCAGCTCGGCTGGACAGGCCTCGGTGGACCCCACCCTCTCCAGGCCCATTGCCTGGCTCGATGGTAAAATAATGCTGACCCAAAAGATCAGAAGCAGAAGATGGCTCGCTGCTATCCACATCTGCTGCTTACTCAGCACTCTCACTGAACTTTTAAAAAATCCCTGAGAATGCCAGAACCAGAGCTATAGCTTGCTTAAAATGAAAAAAAAAAAAAAAAAAAAAGGAAAAACTGATAACGTGAGGAATATTTCCTGCAAACCAGTGCAAGTCAAATGGGCTTAAGCAAAAAGAGAGGTTTATTGGCTCTGGAATTTAAGTACTTTAAATTCCAGGAATAGTATCAGCTTCAGGTATAGCTGGATCCAGGAGCTTAGCTAATGTCACAGGGTTGAATCTCTCCTTCCCTCTCTGGCCTGTCCTCTCCTCCATGGTAGCTTTATTCATAGATGCCACATGGTGGCAAGATGGCTGCCAGGAGCTTTATGCCACATCCCCCAGGCCTGAGTCCAGCAGGAAAGAGATGTCCCTTCAGGGTATTGCAGACAGCAAATGCTCCAAGATCAACCCTGATTGGCCATCTTAAACTAATCAGGGGTCAGTAGTAAGCCCATTGGCTCAAATCCAAATCACTGGCCTAGAGTTGGGTGCACCATCTTTGGACCGAGAGTGGAAGGTTGGATCCCCCATGGAAATCAGGACTTCCACCCGGAGGAGGAAGAGCAGAGGCTGTGGAGACCCACTCAGGTGCTCACTACACCAGGAAACCAGTCAGACCCTGTGGGCTGCATCTTCTGCTCAGCCAGGAGATCTCTCTTCCTTTCCCCACCGGCCCTCTGCCCCTGAAACCGACCCACCTTCCCCACATCCACAGCCCACTGCTCTCTGCCTCTGGGTGGACTTGGCAAGGGGGCAGCCCAGCGGGACACCAGTGAGGTCAAGGGCTCCTTCAGGCCACCCAAAGGCACCTCTCCTCTCAAGAAGGCCCCTCCTACATTCCCTCTCCTCCTGGCTTTCTGGAACTATCTCTTCCCTCCTCCCTTCCAATCCAGGGGTGGTGACATCGCCTCCATTTCCAGCCCAGAGTTCCTCTATTCCTGCCCACACTTTTGAAAGTAGCCCCTGCATTAAGCCAAACTGGAATTATCCACGTGTGAATGTCCCTGCTTCTCCTGAAGGCTTGAACCCGGACAGATGCCAGGGAGGAAACCCAGTCCATGCTGGGATGCCCGGATTCTCCCATGATCCTCCAGTGTCAGCCCCTCCCCCACCAAAACCCCACCCCCGCCCCAGCTTCCCCCAAGTCTTAAACGCCAGAGAATTGAGAGGATGGAGAAGTTTTGGAAATGGATGGTGGCGATGGTGGCACAGCAATGTGAGTGTGCTTCATGCCACCAAATTGTACCTTTAAAAATGGCTAAAATGGTAACTTTCCTGTTGTGTACACAGTATGGTAAACCACAATTTTTAGCATGATAAAAACAACAGAAAAAGCCAATATGCACAAATCCTCATCCAACCAGTATCCCAGCTTTTCTCTCTCCCCCTCCCCCTCGGGTGGAGCAATGCCAGCTCCGAGGCATTTGGAGAGGAAGCCAGGTCTCCTTTGGATCAATGTGGTATTGATTCCCGTCTCATGAGCAAGGACAAAGGCTGATTGCCTTCCAGTGAATCTGAACTTCACACGCCCCCAGGCCTCGGGCACAAAAATGATGCAAACCGCTTCCTCAGCCAACAGGGAGGAGGTTCAGCAACCGGCCCTGGGGCGGGCAGGGGAAATGAGGTGCTTGGCCAATGCCACCTGGTAGGAGCCACTCCAGGGCAGAGATGACAAGGTCCAGAGCAGACACCCGAGTTCCACCTTCCCACACGGGAACTGAGTCACCCTGCCTGTGTTCTCTCAGCAGCTCTGTCCTGCCCGGAGGCTGGGAGTGCCCTGGTTACAAGGCCAAATGCCCACGGTCAGCAAATTAAGGACAGTCCTTTCCATTGGGAAGAACCAAGACCCCCAGGGCACACAGTAGGCTGGGTTCTAGATGCTGACACTAAAAAAGGGAGCTGAGGCCAGGTGCAGTGTCTCACGCCTATAATCCCACCACTTTGGGAGGCTGAGGCAGGTGGATCACGAGGCCAAGAGATCGAGACTATCCTGGCCAACATGGTGAAACCCCATCTCTACTAAAAATACAAAAATTAGCTGGGCATGGTGGCACATGTCTGCAATCCCACCTACTCCAGAGCCTGAGGCAGGAGAATCACTTGAACCCAGGTGGCAGAGTTTGCAGTGAGCCAAGATTGTGACACTGCACTCCAGTCTGGCAACAGAGTGAGATGCCAACTCAAAAAAAAAAAATACAAATACAAATATAAATACAAAAATTAGCCAGACATGGTGGCCGGCGCTGTAATCAGCTACACGGGAGGCTGGGGCATGAGAGTCACTTGAGCCTAGGAGGCGGAGGTTTGTTGCAGTGAGCCGAGATTGTGCCACTGCACTCCAGCCTGGGTGGCAGAATGAGACTGTCCCAAAAATAAATAAATACATAAATAAAAAGAAGGAGGCTGAGCCAATCACTCCCTGCCCTCACTGAGCTGATGTTCCAGGGCAGCCTGCCTGGTAGAAACAAAATGCCACCCACGGGCAGAATGCAACACTTCCTAGCAGCCACGTGAAATAAAAAAGGAAAAGGAAGAAAATGTGGCTGGGCACCTTGGCTCACGCCTATAACCCAACACTTTGGGAAGCCAAGGCAGGAGGATCACCGGAGCCCAGGGGTTCAAGACCAGCCTGGGAAACACAGTGAGACCCCATCTCTATGGAAAATTTAAAAAATTAGCAGGGCATGGTGACACTGGTACCTGCAGTCCCAGCTACTTGGGAGGCTGAGACAGGAGGATCCCGTGAGCCTGGGACGTTGAGGCTGCAGTGGGCTCTGATTGTGCTGCTGCCCTCCCACCTGAGCAACAGAGCAAGACTGTCTCAAAATAATAAATAAAAACAGAAAATGAAAAAAGAAGCAGATGAGATTAATTTTAATGTAATCTAATTGATCCCAAATATTATCATTTCAGCACACACTCCACATAAAAAATTAATCCCCGCAATATTTACATGCATTTGCTTCATCCTAACATTCTGAAACCCACTGTGTATTCCAAACCCAGAACCCATCTCAGTGTGGACACTGAATTCTCATCGGAAATATTTGATCTGCATTTCATTTCATAAAACTGACAGTTGAAAGGGTACATTAATCTACTGAAGCTGCTCCTCAGAGACTTAAAAGTCTTCCAAGAACGAAGTATCAAAAATCATTTTCCTCTAACATCCACATCTGCATTGGCAAAACTGCTTTGGCTTTTAATTTTTAATTTAAATTAATTTTAAAAAAGATATGAAGATATAAAATTCAGTTCCTCAGTCCCAATAGCCACATTTCAAGCACCTGATAGCCACATGTGACCAGTGGCTGTTATTTTGGCCAACACAGTTTTAAATGGAGCAGACAGGTCAGGTGTGACAACTCATGCCTGTAATCCCAGCACTTTGGGAGGTTAGAGGCAGGTGGATCGCATGAGGCCAGGAATTCAAGACCAGCCTGGCCAACATGGTGAAACCCCGTCTCTACTAAAAGTAGAAAACTTAGCTGGGCGTGGTGGCGGGCACCTGTAATCCCAACTACTTGGGAAGCTGAGGCAGAAAAATTGCTTGAACCTGAGAGGTGGAGGTTGCAGTAAGCCGAGATCGCACCACTGGACTCCAGCCTGGGTGACAGACTGAGACTCTGTCTCCAAAAACTAAATTAATTAATTAAATGGGGGAGACAATGAGACTAAGTGTAAATGGCATCACTTCCTGTCAGCGGAATCCCACAGTCGGTCCTCTTTCCTTGACTGGCTTCTTTCATTTAGTATCATTACTCCGAGACACGTCCGTGTTGAGCGTAGGTGTGCGTGCATACATCCACCTGACGGTAATGCAAAGAACGAACACAGAAACTAAAGGGCAGTTGGGGGCGCTTTTAGCTAGAGAAGAGATTTGGATAGGCCTCTTGGAAGAGGTGATGCTTGGCAGAGACTTGAAGGCAGTGGAGATCTGAGCCATGTTTGGGTCTGGTGGAAGAGTGTCCCAGGCAGAGGGAATGGTCAGTGCAGAGGCCTTGAGGTAAAAGCATCCCTGGTGCATTCAGGAAGCAGAGCAGAGGCAAGGCAGGCTGGAGTGGGTGGAGCACCAGAGAAGAGGTAGGAAAGAAAACCAGAACAGTCCCAGGGCAGATCCCATGGCCTCATGGGGCTTTGTAGGAACTCGAACCTCTACTCTGAATTCTCTGTCCCCACCCCCAGTCTATTCCCAAAATGTCGACTTTTCTTGCCTGGCTCTTCTCTCATTCAGCGTAGGTATTGTGAGAGTCATTTATCCTATTAGTCCGTTTTCCCTCTGCTGGTAAAGGCGTACTTGAGACTGGGTAATTTATAAAGAGAAAGAGGTTTAATGAACTCACAGTTCCCCACACGTGGCTAGGGAGACCTCATAATCATGGTGAAAGGCAAAAGGCACTTCTTACATGGTGGCAGACAAGAAACAGGATGAGAACCAAGCAAAAGAGAAACCCCTTATAAAACCATCAGCTCTCGTGAGACTTATTTACCACCACCAGAACAGTATGGGGGAAACTGCCCCCATGATTCAATCATCTCCCATAAGGTCCCTCCCACAATTTGTGGGAATTATGGAAGCCATAATTCAAGATGAGATTTGGGTGGGGACAGAGCCAGACCATATCATTTATGTTGCCGTGCGCATCAATATTTCATTGTAAGGACACACCACCATGTGCTGACCCATTCACATGTTGATGGGCTGTTGGTTTATTTCCAGTTTTTGGCTATGACAACAAAGCAGCAATGAACATTTGTGTACAAGTCTCTGTGTAGGCAGATGCTGTCATTACTCCTGGGTAAATGCCCAGAAGTGGGATTACTGGGTCATCTTGGAAGTGTATGATTAATTGAAGAAACTCCCAAACTGTTTTCCAGTGTAGTTAGGTGATTTACATTCCCTGCAGCTGCGTGTTGAGTTCCAGGCCCTCTGAACTCTCCCAGTGCTGGAGGGCATCAGGCTTTATCATTTCAGTCATTCCAGCTGGTACTGGAGTATCGCATTTTGATTTTGCACTGTGAGATCTTTAAGGTCCAGAATCCTCATTCATGCTTTCAACAAATATTTACTGAGGACCTGAGGACGTGTGAAGCACTGGGCGCTGTGCCAGGAGCCAAAAACAAGTACAGTCGCTGCTCCTGAGGTATTTCCAGTTTCAGGAGTGAGACTGACATTTATCAACCGTGGGGTTACAGGGCCTCTCAGTGCATGAGATGCCAGGAAACTGTGAGGCAGGGAAGTGTGACCTGTTCTTGTGGAGAGGGAATCAGGGCAGGCTCCCCTGAGGAAATGACTTTTTTTTTTTTTTTTTTTTGAGACGGAGTTTTGCTCTTGTTACCCAGGCTGGAGTGCAATGGCGCGATCTCGGCTCACCGCAACCTCCGCCTTCTGGGTTCAGGCAATTCTCCTGCCTCAGCCTCCTGAGTAGCTGGGATTACAGGCACGCGCCACCATGCCCAGCTAATTTTTTGTATTTTTAGTAGAGACGGGGTTTCACCATATTGACCAAGATGGTCTCGATCTGTTGACCTCATGATCCACCCGTCTCGGCCTCCCAAAGTGCTGGGATTACAGGCTTGAGCTACCGCACCCAGCCGGAAATGACTTTTTAAGAACTAGCTAGTTGGCTGGGCATGATGGCTTATGCCTGTAATCTCACCATTTTGAGAGGGTGAGGTGGGTGGATCACCTGAGGTCAGGAGTTCAAGACCAGCCTAGCCAACATGGTGAAACCCTATCGCTATTAAAAATACAATATTAACTGGGCATGATGGCATGTACCTGTAGTCCCAGCTACTCAGGAGGCCGAGGCAAGAGAATTGCTTAAATCCAAGAGGTTGCAGTGAGCTGACGTTGCACCTTTGCACTCTGGCCTGGGCGACAGAGTGAGGCTCCATCTGAAAACAAAAGAACTAGCTAGTTACGTGGGGAGGAGGCAGGACAGAGTCCAGGGAGAAGAGATGTCCACACACAGAAGCCATGGATGAGCTGGGATGCTTTGGGCTTCGAGTGACAGCCATGAGGAAATGTACTCATTGCTAGGGACCGAGTGCCTGCCTCTCTCCCAGATTCCCATATTAGATCCTAACTCCCAGTGGGGTGGTATCAGAAACCACCTAATTTGGCAATGATTGGGTCATAAGGGTGGTGTTCCTATGAAGGGGATGAGTACCTGATCTCGTCTGGATATTTTTCCCCACCCAAATCTCATAGTGAAATGTAATCCTTTAGGCTGGACGCAGTGGTTCATGCCTGGAATCCCAACACTTTGGGAGGCCAAGGTGGGCAGGTTACTTGAGTCCAAGAGTTTGAGACCAGCTTGGGCAACACAGTGAAACCCGGTGTCTACCAAATACACACACACACACACACACACACACACACACTACCCAGGCAGGATGGTACATGCTTGTAGTTCGAGCTACGTGGGAGGACCACAGGCAGAGGTTGAAATGAGCTGAGATCACACCACTGCACTCCAGCCTGGGCAACAGAGTAAGACCCTGTCTCAAAAACATCAGAATAAATATAATCGCAATATTAGAGGTGGGGCCTGCTGGGGGGAATGGATCACGGAAGTGGATTCCTCATGAATGGCTTAGCACCATCCCCTTGGTGCTGTCCTTGTGACTGAGTGAATTCTCACAATCCAATTGTTTCAATATGTGTGGCACCTACCCCACCGGCTCGCTCCCGCACTGGCCACGTGACGGGCCGGATCCCCCTTTGCCTTCTGCCATGATTGGAAGCTTCCTGAGGTCTCCCCAGAAGTGGAACAGATGCCAATGCCATGCTTCCTGTGCAGCCTCCAAACCATGAGCCAATTAAGCCTCTTTTCTTTATGTTACCCAGTCTTAGGTATTTCTTTATAGTGACACAAGAATGGCCTCATATAGCACACTTCTGAAAGAAACCCCAGAGTTCCCTCACTCCTGCCGTGTGAAAACACAGCACGAAGGTGCTATCTATGAACTAGGATGTGGGTCCCCTCCAGAGGTCGAACCTGCCAGCAACTTGGACTTCTCAGTCTCCACAACTGTGAGCAATAAAAAAATTTTTTTGGCTGGGCATGGTGGCTCACACCTGTAATCCCAGCACTTTGGGAGGCCAAGGCAGGTGGATCACCTGAGGCCAAGAGTTTGAGATCAACCTGGCCAACGTGGTGAAAGCCCATCTCTAATAAAAACACCAAAAAATTAGCCAGGTGTGGTGGTACATGCTTGTGATCCCAGCTACTAGATAAAATAAAACATTTTTTTTGAGGCAAGGTCTCACTCTATTGCCCCGGCTGGAGTGCAGTGGCATGACCACAGCTCACTGCAGCCTTGACCTCCCAAGCCCAAGCAATCCTCCCACCTCAGCCTCAAGTAGCTGGGACTACAGGTGTGCACCACCACACCTAGCTAATTTTTTTTGTATTGTTTGTAGAGATGAAGTTTCACCATGTTGCCCACCTTGGCCTCCCCAAGTGCTGGGATTACAGGCATGAGCCACTGCACCCAGCCTGAGCAATAAAGTTCTGATGTTCATAAGCCACCAGTCTATGGTACTGTGTAACACAGGGGTCACCAACCCCCCAGCTGTAGACCAGTGCCAGTCCATGGCTACTTAGGAGCCGGGCCACACAGCAGGAGATGAGCAGCAGCCAAGCGAGGTTCCCACCTGAGCTCCGCCTCCTGTCAGATCAGTGGCGGCGTCAGACTCTCCGAGGCACTCAAACCCTACCGTGAACTGCGCACCCGAGGGACCCAGGTTGCCTGCTCCTTGTGAGAATCTAACACCTGATGGTCTGAGGTGGAGGTTTCATCCTGAAACCATCCTGCTCACTGACAGGCCGTGGAAAATTGTCTTCCACAGAACTGGTCCCTGGTGCCAAAAAGGCTGGGGGCTGCTGGAATAACAGCAGCCTGAATAAGACACTCACATAACAGAAGGCCTCGGGAGGGGCAGTTTCAGAATGCCAGGAAGCTCCTAGGCTCTTGCCCACAGTATCAGGAGCTTCCCAGCTTTCTGCTCCACTATCCTCAGTGGGTCTGCCGTGTTTTCCCTCAAAGTCATAAAGTGGCTGCTGTGGCTCCAGACAACATACCCTCACCCTCACCCTCATCCTCATCCTCACCCTCATCCTCATCCTCACCCTCACCCTCACCCTCACCCTCACTCTCACCCTCATCCTCACCCACTGAGCCAAGCAGGAAGGAAGAGGCAGCAAGAGGCGCTTCTTTTCATTTCTCTATGAAAATCTGCCCCTGCCGAGTTCCCCTAACATTTTGCTTGCTAGAACTTGGTCTCATGCCCACCCTAGACCAACAAGAAATAGGGTTCCCTTAGATCTATCATGAGCAATTCCATGGGGCATGGAGACTCACCCTCTAAATAAAATCCAGACGGTGTGAAAGGAAAGGCGGGAATGCCTGCTGAAGAGCCGACCACCAGGGGCTGCCTGGCTCAGCTTGCTGTTTAGCAGAACTGGGGGCTATCTCAGGAATGTCTGGGTTGCTGGCCTGAGAATTCACCCAAAGTGATACGGCAAAAGCTGAGAGATTGGGCCAGGCAGCCTCATCCCAAACACAAGGACTTAGTTCCCGAATGTCCTCTAGGCTCCAAGAGGACCCAGTGAGGGTTGCAGGTGGGAACAAGGGGTGAGCTCCAGGAGCCCTACCCATGAGGCTTCTGAGTGGGGGTCCCAGGCCTCTGCTCCCCACGCTCCACTGAGACATTGGGTGTGGAGCTGGGGGCAGGGGCCACGCAAATCGACCTTGGCACTGGCCCGAGCCCAGGCAGCCACTGACATTCAGTCGAGTGCGCTGTCTCGCTCTGTCTTTTAAAAGAATCTTTTTTTCACTTCCCAGGGAAACATCTCAGCAACCTCTGAATGCAGCTCTGAAGACGAAGGGCGACTTAGAACAGAAACCATCGAATGACACCCGTCGGTCCCCTCCCTTCTTCTCCCAGGGCGCGAGGCCCCTGGGCCTCGCTCCATCCGAGACGCAGCACAGTGTGTGCTCACCTTCCTTCGGGCAGCCAACCTCACGCCTGGGCCTTCTCTGAGTTCCCGGAAGGTGGTGGGGAACAGGCTCCCTCCACCCAGCCTGGCATCCTCCTGGGAAGCAAAGGTTGTCAACAAGAGAGCGAACAAATGCAGCAAAGGCAGAAAGAGCTTCGTGCTGCCGTGCGGAGCTTGGCTTCTCTACCTGAAGTTCAGAGAAGGCTTCTCTGAGCAGCTGACCTCCAGCTGAAAACTGGACGAGGACCCAGCTCTGCAAAGACCCCAGGCAGGTGGGGTCAGGCGGAGGAACATCCAGTGCAGAAACCCCGAGGTGGGAAGGAACCAGGTGGCTCCAGGAACAGGAAGGGCTGTGTGGCTGGCAAGGCTCGGGGCACCTGAGGTGTGGGCAGAGCCGGCTGGAGGGTCTGGGTGCGCTTGGCTCCGGGTACATTTGGGCATTCAGTCCAGTCACAGCGAGAACACATCTTAAGCTTTTGCTTGAGAATTTTTCCTTTTTTTCCAGAAATCCTGGAGACAGAGCAGTTGAGAAGCTGTTTTTAGGTTTGTTTTGTTTTTTTAAAAAAATAATAGACATGGGGTCTTGCTATGTTGCCCAGGCTGGTCTCGAACTCCTGGGCTCTAGCAATCCTCCCACCTCAGCCTCCCAAAGCACCGGAATTACAGGCTTGAGCCACTGTACCCGGCCAGAAGCAGTCTTTGACTCCAGAGTTTGGCACCAACCTTTGATGTTTTCAGGTGTGACAATGTGCGTCGCTGAAGAGTGCCCTTGCCACCCTCCCCTGCAGACACAGGGGGTCAATGAGTGACAAGCAGCGGTGTCAGGCAGGGCTCTTTGGAAGCAATTCCTATTTTCTTTTTCATTTTTGAGACAAGATCTCCCTCTGTCCCTCAGACTGCAGTGCAGAGATGTGGCCTCAGCCCACTGCAGCCTTGAGCTCTTGGGCCCAGGAGATCCTCCTAAGTAGCCGGGATCACAGGTGTGCACCTCCATGTCTGTGCACTACATGCCCAGGCTGGTCTCGAACTCCTGGGCTCAAGCGATCAGCCTGCCTTGGCCTCCCAAAATGCTGGGATTACAGGCGAGAGCCACTGCTCCTGGCCTGCATTCCTTTCTCAGAGCAGGCATCGGGAGGCAGCCTGCGGGAGGCGTGGGAGTCCTGCCTTCAGGCTGGTTGTCACCAGGGCTGGCTCTTGGCTCTCAGGCTTCTGCTTGCCACCCAGGAGCTGTGTCTTCTTCAAAGCTGGCGGAGTTCCACCATCCAACTTTCCCATGATGTCACACAGTCATAGGAGCGACTACAGCATCACTTCCTTGTCATATGGCGTAACCGGATCAAGGGAACAGCTTTCGCATCACACTCTCACTCAAGGGGGGGATTATCCCAGGCATGGACACCAGGGGACAGGGGCTTAGGGGACATTTCAGGATTCTGCCTCCCACAGAGGACAAAGCTTTGCGGAACTCATTCCCTGGTTTGTCAAGGGTCCCATGGCACATGGGAGCTTGGCCTCGTGCAGATGCTAAATCCAGAGGGGCCAGACCAGGCATTGCCCAGAGTTCCCAGGGTGGTGCCCGCTGCCTGAGCTGGATCCACCACTGGGCAGTTTCCAGCACACATTGCCAAGGCCTCCCCTGCAGGAAGTAGATGCGATCAGGAGAGTCGGGAAAGGCTTGAACGGAAGGAAGCAGGGACGAGCCAGGAGAAGGCCAGATTCCTGTGTGGAGCTTCAGGAGGGCCTGGGAGGTAGCTAGCAGCTGCCACGTCACAGAACCAGAAGACAAAAGGCCCGAGGGTGGAGGAGTCAGGACTAGACTCCGTGGCATGGCATAGAAAATGCAATCTCACAGCAGCACGAGGTCCCTGGGGAATCCCCAGTGGCTGCTGCTATAAATAGAAAAGAAATCCAGCTGCCCACAGAAGGTGACCTCCATTTTAGAGATTACAAAATTAGTGCTCAGAGAGGTTAAGTGACTTGCCCAGGGTCACACAGCTAGGAAGTGGTGGAGCTGAGATTTGAGCACCCTTGACTTGCCTTTGTCACTTGCAACAAATAGGTCCTGATCACTGTGCCATGGGACCCTTTACAAACCAGGGAGTGAGTTCCTGAAGCTTGTGTTAGAGGTGTATGTGTGCGCGCACATGTGTGGGGGTGGGGGGGGTGGGTGTATGTGTGCGCGCACATGTGTGGGGGTGGGGGGGGTGGGTGTATGTGTGCGCGCACATGTGTGGGGGTGGGGGGGGTGTATGTGTGCACGCACATGTGTGGGGGTGGGGGGGTGTATGTGTGCGTGCACATGTGTGGGGGTGAGGGGGGTGGGTGTATGTGTGCGCGCACATGTGTGGGGGTCGGGGGTGGGTGGGTGTATGTGTGCGCGCACATGTGTGGGGGTGGGGGGTGTATGTGTGCGCGCACATGCGTGGGGGTGGGGGGGTGTATGTGTGCGCGCACATGTGTGGGGGTGGGGGGGTGTATGTGTGCGCGCACATGTGGGGGGTGGGGGGGTGTATGTGTGCGCGCACATGTGTGGGGGTGGGGGGGTGGGTGTATGTGTGCGCGCACATGTGTGGGGGTGGGGGGGTGTATGTGTGCGCGCACATGTGTGGGGGTGGGGGGGTGTATGTGTGCACGCACATGTGTGGGGGTGGGGGGGTGTATGTGTGCGTGCACATGTGTGGGGGTGGAGGGGGTGGGTGTATGTGTGCGCGCACATGTGTGGGGGTCGGGGGGGTGGGTGTATGTGTGCGCGCACATGCGTGGGGGTGGGGGGTGTATGTGTGCGCGCACATGCGTGGGGGTGGGGGGGTGTATGTGTGCGCGCACATGTGTGGGGGTGGGGGGGGTGTATGTGTGCGCGCACATGTGGGGGGTGGGGGGGTGTATGTGTGCGCGCACATGTGTGGGGGTGGGGGGGTGGGTGTATGTGTGCGCGCACATGTGTGGGGGTGGGGGGGTGTATGTGTGCGCGCACATGTGTGGGGGTCGGGGGGGGTGTATGTGTGGAACTGACCTCGTGATCCACCCACCTCAGCTTCTGAAAGTTCTGGGATTATCGGCATGAACCACCATGCCCAGCCAGGATTGTGTTTTAAAATCTTTGCAAACGGTCCGGGAGCAGTGGCTCATGCCTATAATCCCAGCACTTTGGAAGGCCAAGGTGGACAGATCACCTGAGATCAAGAGTTCGACACCAGCCTGCCCAACATGATGAAACCCCATCTCTACTAAAAATACAAAAATTAGCCAGGTATGGTGGCACACATCTGTCATCCCAGCTACTTGGATGGCTGAGGTGGGAGGATTGCTTGAACCTGGGAGGCAGACGTTGCTGTGAGCCGAGATCACGACACTGCACTGCAGCCTGGGCAACAGAGTGAGACTCCATCTCAAAAAATTAAAATAATAAAATAAAATTAAAAAGTATCAGCAAGCATTGCTCTAAACCTGAGTTGCTTGGGTCCTCCATGGATACACTGGGAGCATGTTGGAAACTCAGTCTCAGGCCCCACCCTCCTGCCAAAGCAGAACCTGCATTTTAGCCAAATTCTCAGCTGAGCTGTGTGCAGTTTTGAGAAGCTCTGAACAGACACCTGCGAGCACCCGCAGCGGCCAGGGCTCTGCAAGGATCTCCAGGGCCCACCATCTCTCAAGGATCCCCCAGATGTGAGGGAAGCTTAGGGCGATGGCAGGAACTGAAAACACAACTCCAAACGTCTCCCACGCCACAGCCCAGCCCTCCCCACTGCCGCCTGCTGGCACAGCTCTCCCTGGCACTGTGCCCTCGGCTTCCCACTGCCTGGGTCTCTCAATACCACGCACCCAACTTCCCCAGGGCCACCCGGGACAGGCCTTGCAAGCTCCCCAGAAGTGGAGATGGGACTTAAAGAAACAGATCACATGAAGGGTGGCGACCAGCTCCTCTCTGCGCTGCCATGAGGGTGTAGCCATGAAAAGCTAAGTTTGCGGCAGAAGGCATGGAAGTCAGATAGGCAGGCAAGCATGGCGATGTTTCTGACCCCTGTCTCTACCCAGCAGGTCCTTGAAAACATTCATCCACCCACCCACGCACGCACCCACCCACGCGCCCACCCACCCATGCATCCACCCATGAATCCACACACCCCATCCACCCACCCACGCATCCACACACCCACACATTCACCCACCCACCCACGCATCCACACACCCACCCACCCACCCGTCCACCACTGACTGAGGTCCTCCTGTCAGGCACTGCTCCAAAGACTGGAGTACAACCGTGAACAGACGGGTATACATTCTGCTGCTAACCCACAGGGTGACTTATGAAGTCGCCAAGCCACCCCAGGCCTCAGTTTTCCCTTTGGTAAAATGTGAGAGTTAAACAAAGAGACCTCTAAAATGTTTCATTTTGATCTTTCTTTCAATATGACAGTAGTAAGGGTAAACGGCAAGCGCTCATCGCTGTCCATGAACTGCCACAGCCCAACAGCGCTGTCAGAGGCAGCCCCAGGCCCAGCCCCACAGCGAGTCGGTGGGGCGATCGTTCTGCACTGCTCTGCCAGCCACTGGCCTAGGTGTGGCCACGTGACTCGCTTCTGACCAAGGACACCTCAGAGGAAGTCTCCTGGGAACTCAGGGAAAGATTTTGCTTCCTGATGTAAGAGAAACACACAGAGAAGCCCTCCTCTCTTCCACCCAGCCCCTTTCTTCCAGTTGGAGAGGCTGCCCGGTAAGAATTGATGTCTAGAGCAGCAGCAGCCATGTTGGGACCCTGAGGCAAGAAAGATGGCAGCGTGATAGGCACGGAATGCCCTGGTCTCCGATAACATCGCTGAGCTGCTGAGCCGCGCCGGGAACTCAGACCCCTGCCCTTAAGTTAAACGGCCTCATCATCTACGCCACAGTGCGCTGCGTTTTCTGTTACCCTCAGCTGAGGCATGCTAAGCAATCCCGTCAGTTCCTCCAAGCCACTCCTTACCCCGCTCCCAGAGCTCTGCTCAAACGCCCCTTCCCTGACCGGCACCCACCCAGACACTCCTGAACCCTCCGCAGCCTCCAGCAGCCCCCCGAGCATAGGTGCCCTTTAATTTGCCAGGAGAGCTGGCGATAAACCCCTACCAGCCCTAACCTCTCGCGTGGGCCACGCAGAAGGAAAATCCCATTTTTCTGGGACCCCTGTCTAAGTCAGAGCGCCGGGCTGCATTTGCGCAGGGACCAGATGGATTTCTTGCCGACCCACAGGTCAACGGTGACAGCGCGGGAAGCCAGACTACATCCATGCTCCCCTGCTAAGGCCAGGGAGCCAAGCGGGCTGCAGCCTCGCCATTCCCTAGCTGTGTGCCCTTGGGCAAGCGACTTCACTTCTCTGGGCCTCAGTTTCCCCCCTGTAAAATGGGAACAGTAACACTTCCATGGTCATGGTGAGGGCTAAATGGAGGCAAGGAAGGGCGCCCACCAGCCACTTGGAGGTCCCTTTCCCGTGGGAGGAAGTGAGCACGAGGGTGGCTGGGAGGATGACGCCCGCTCCCGGGAAGTGTGGGGATGGAGCTTTCTGGTCATCAGTGTGTGGCCAAGGCCATCTCACAAACTCTCCACTCTAGATCCAGCGTCCGCAGAGTTCCAGGGCGTGAGCCGCCACTAACCCTTCCCCTGCTGCTACGCAACAGCAAGGCGGCCTTCCCCTGCACCACCCAAGGGCCCGAGGCCATTGCCAGGCCCCTGCTGGGGATCACGTGCTGGCCAGGCCCGGCGGTTTCCCGATGCTGTGGGAGGACCAGGCAGACGAGATGACAGGAAGGCCTTTCCTATCCAAAGTGCAATCAGACAACCCGCGTACCTGCTCCCACCTCACTGTGAAGAGAGGCCGCTGATTAATAAGATCTGACATTTCTGGAGCAATCCTACATGCCAGACAGGTTCTAGCACTTTCTATCAACGTATTCCATCCTCAGAGCAACCTATGCAATAAACACTATCGTCGTCATTTTACAGATTAAGAAACCAAGGCTCAGAGAGGTTGAGTAACTTGCCCAGGGTCACACAGCTAATAGGCAGTGGAACTGGGCTTTGCACCCGCCTGATTTGACTTGCTGCTATTTGCAGCCGGTCAGTCCTGATAAATGTGGCATGTGACCCTGGGCACCTGCTCTGAACCCACTGGAGGGCGAGCTGGCTGAAGCCCCTTTCTTCTCGACAAATGGGCTGACGCTCCAGCACTCCTACTTCGACAGAAACCCTGACAAATGGAGATGGTGGTGGCCAGGGTCAGCCAGAGAAGCCAGCGGCCTGGGCCGGGGGCCCCAGGACCACACACGGGAAGGGCCGCGTTGCTTTCTCACCCGGCACCAGCAGAGCCGAGCAGCTTAGCCCAGGAGGTCACCGACTCGTTTGAAGTCTGAGTCATAGGTCGAAGATTCCATTTAACGCCCCGATAAAGCAAAACCCCTGAGCAAACAAATGAGAGTCCGCCCCGGCACGAGCACGCCCCCCCTCCGGGAGCCCTGGCTGGCTGCACAGCAACGGGGCTCCTTCCAAGCCAGCCTGTCGCTCAAGAATGCGCCCAGCCCAGGACGATGCAAGGCCGTGACTATCAGCCCCATTTTACAGGTGCGGGAATGGAGGGCCACAGAGGTTGCACCACCTACCCAAGGTCACACAGCCCATGAATGAGACCGGAAAGGGGAATGAAACTGAGGTCTCCCCGTTCCCCCCAGTGCTCTTCCCTCCTTCCCAGGTGAGTGTTCTCCCTCCCCTCCCGTAGAGAGGAGGTGCTATTTTGGGGCACACTGCATTCATTTCTCTTAAGAGACAGGGTCCCGCTCTGTTGCCCAGGCTGGAGTGTGATCGTGCAGTCAAAGCTCACCTCAGCCTGGAACTCTTGGGCTCAAGCAATGCTCTCACACAGGCCTCCTGGAGCGTCGAGATCACAGGTGTGAGCAACCGCACGCGGCCGCGCTCCCGTTCACCGGGAGCCAGGCTCTGCATTTCCTCCACCTGCCAGCACTCCCGCAGTCAAGGGTGGTCAGGTGGCTTCCACCCCCTCGAAGGGCAGAGCCCGTACCCCAGGCCTAGCCAATCAGAGCACTGCCAGCCAGGTGATTGGCTCGGAGATGGGCACCAAGCCGGTCCCATCCAAGGGATGGCGAGGTAATTGCACCAGTTTCCAGGGAGAAAACATTCTAACTCCTCCGAGACTAGAACCAAGGGAGATGTGGGTTAAAACGACACACATTTGTTATCTTACAGTTCTAGCGGTCAGAAGGCCACAGTGGCCCTCGCTGGACTAAGAACGAGATGTTGGCAAGGCTGTGCTCCCTCTGGAAATTGCAGGGGAGCATCCGTTCTCTGCCTTTTCCAGATTCTAGAGGCTGCCTGCACTCCCAGGCTCGTGGCCCCTTCCAGCAATGCCATCACTCCTGCCTCTGCCTCTGCGGCCACATCTCCTCTCTCTGACTCATGCTTCTCTTTCACTGATAAGAAACCTTGTGATTACATCACCATTATGATAATCCAGAAGAATCTCTCCATCTCAAGATATGTAACATAATTTTATCTGCAAGGTCCCTTTTGCCATGTAAGGCCACATATTCACATGTTCTCTGGGATTGGGTCATGGACATCTCTGTGGGTGGTTGTCTACCATAGCAATCACAACCATAGCAGGCAGGGTGCCCAGATGGAGGGAAAGTAAATCCTGGTGAATGTTTTGAGCCCCTGGATCAAGCTGTACCTGAAGGTATATACTTAACTTTTCACTTACATCGTGGCGATTACATTTCCTTTGTGCCTAAGCTCGCTGGAGGCTTTTGTTTTGCTTTGTTTTGTTCTGTCACTTGCAAACAGAGAGCCTGGCTGAATTCACTCCCAGCCCATAAAGATTTCAAGTGACAAATTACCAGCTTGCATGTCTCTCACACGAGGCTGAAATCGTGAGAGTAAAGACGACACCTCCTGTAACTTTGTCCCATCGGCACCTACAAAGGAGGCTCTGACAAAATGTTTGTTGATTGAATAACAATTTGCTGATGGACTAAACACCCTCCTTCATGCCCCTGCTCAGCCACCAGCACAAGAACAAGAGGGCAGAGAAAAGCCTTGGCAGGATTTCCCAGGGGTGAACGCGAGGCCAGTCATTTCCCTCTGGGGGTGGCAGCTTCCTCAGAGAGGGACGACGAGGACAGAAGTCCTGGAGAAAGCCTGACTTCGGTGGGCAGTGAGGGTCCGCCACCCAGAGCCAGCACTTCCCAACTGGTCCTGGGACAGCAGCTGCAGCACTCTGCCGACAAATCCTTCTGAGTCATTTCTGGTCAGGAAGCAGCTCGCTGTCAGATGAGAGTCACGGCGGCTCCCTCTGCACACCCGGCGGGGGCAGCAGCCTCCTCATTTTCCACAGCTGCAGAGCTCAGCTGCACGGCCCTGTAAGGAGAGTCTCTCAGGGCAAGGGGAGGAGCCAGAACAGAAGCCTCCCAGGAAGGCCTGCATGTCCTGGTCCCCAACACAGAGCTATCATTTTACCCGTCGATAAGGTCGCTGCCATTCTTGTTCCCATGTGCGTCTGAGAGACTGACCCAAGGCAGCCTCCCTCCCTCTCTTCTGCACCCTCTTCCTCAGACACACCTGCCTGTTCTGATTTATCCTCTGTGGGCCCCGAAGTGCAGGACTCACCCCTCACCAGATCCACGCTGAGCCTGCGCTCGGCCCTCCTTGCGTTTAGGTTCAGCTGCGGCCGTGCAGCAGGCATTCCCTCTGGCTGGCACACTGTCCCCCACATGGTCTAAACTTCAGCCACTGTCACCCACGGATGCTCCAAGACTGAGCTGAAACGTTGCTTTTGGTTCATGTAGTCATCTACATTCACCACGATCGTTGGTGATTCGGATACAGCACTTACAACCTGCCAGGCTCAGCTTCGTCTATTACAGACATAAGTAACCACCTACTTCGTCTTCACCAGAAGGCTAAGAAGGAAAGTGAGGCAGGGGTATTAAGTGACAGACTAAGCATTTGGATCCAGAGAGCTGCCCCCAAGGGCTGGGTGCTCAACCCTCGAGCTACGCACACAGGACAGATTTCCAGGACTCCTAGTCACCCTGCTGTGCCCCACCCCCAGCTGCCTGCTAGGCCCCAAGAGCAGGGGCAGGGGCTGCCTCATTCACCTCTGACCCTCAGCACCATCAATGAGTGGCGCATAAGTACATAAATGAGTGATTGTGCAACAAGCCCCGTTACCTTGGGCACTTAACAGTCCTGTGCCTCAGTTTCCCTCCTGTGGAATGGGGCAACAATGGTACTGACTGACAAAAGGCATATCTGAGCCCATCCTCTTAGGGGGAATCCTGGCAAGAAATTTGAATGAGAGATGGGGGGATCTTGATATACATCAGTGATTTCGGTGGCACTGCCCCACAGAGGCCCAGGCAGGAGTGACGTTATAAATTTTTAACAGCCTGATGGCCTGGGCTTCCGTCCAGTGGAATGAAACCTGGATGTGAACACGAGGCACAGTGTGCTGATGTGGATCGCTGTGTCTGACCCCTGGGCACCTGCTGGGGGCACAGCACCACCGAGCCCAGTGCTTGGCAGACGCCACTTGCCACTGTGCATGAGCCAAGGTGACTGTGCAGCTGCAGGAATGCCGTCCAGATGGGTGAGTCACTGGGACCCTTCACAGACTCCCGAGGGGCACTAGAGGCCACAGAAAATGCAGTGGGGCTGCACAGCTTGGACTCCCCACCCAGACCAGGCGTCCTCAGTTCGAGGCACACCCAGCGCTTCCTCCCCACACGTCTTCAATGCCTGAAACTTGGGCCTCCCCACGTGGCCAGTGGGTCCTGTTGGAATGGCCAGAAGGGTCCTGTTAGGGAACCCGTGGATGTCTCAGGATTTTAGAATACTCCGAGCCTGGGGTCCCCAGAGAGCAGACCTTCAGAACCCACGAGACTGTCTCTGATTGTGACTCCCAGCAGCTCCTTAATCCTAAAAAAGCCAGATCTGAATCTTGGCAAATTGTAGCCAGGAGTTCTCAAGCAGCCAGAGAATGGTGGGCTCCCACCGGCAGAGGAAAGATCCAGCCTTGGGAGCAGACTCACACCTGCGAGCCGGCCCTAGGGAGCTGTAGCCCCTGCCTACATCCCTCCAGGGACAGGGGCCCACTCCCTCCTCGATTCATGGCTCAGGGTGGTGGCCAGAACCTGCCTGTCCCGCAGCAGCCAGCCGCACCCAGCTCTGCCACACAGCTGCACACCCAGCCTCTTGCCCTTTGTCAAGTTCACCACAGTCATGCCCCATCCCCCATTCCCTGAAATCAGCCCAAACTGCCCGGAAGCCCAGACCCCGCAGCCCCTCCCCAGCTTTCCTTCCTCATGGAGTTTGTACTTCAGAACAAGAAAACAGATACCCCAAAACAATGAAAGATATCTGTAATTACAGACGGCTACTTTCCAGGATCAGTTTCGACACCAAAATAGTTCCACAATATTTCCTGGGTTTGAGAGAACAAGGGTTTTTATCTCACAAAAGAGAGAAAAAAGAAAGGAAGGAGGGAGGGAAAAGAAAAAGAAAGAGAGGGGAAAAGAGAGGGAGGGAGAGAACACGGGAAAGAGGAAAGGGACGCTGATTCCCCAGAACCACGAGCTCGTCCAGGGGCCAGCAAACCGCAGCTGGGAGATGAATCCAGCCCAGCAAAGAAGAGTTGGCAGCCTGCGTACCAAGAATCATTTTTACATTTTTACATTATTTATTTATTTGAGACAGGGTCTTGCTCTGTTGCCCAGGCTGGAGTGCAGTGGCCCAATCACAGCTCACTGCCGCCTTGAACTCCTGGGCTCAAGCGATCCTCCCGCCTCAGCCTCTAGAGTAGCTGGGTCTACAGGCGCATGCCACCACGCCTGGCTACATTTTTTTTTTTTAAACACTGGGTCTCACTATATTGCCCAGACTGGTCTCAAACTCCTGGCCTCAAGCGATCCTCCCTCATCGACTTCCCAAAGCAATGAGATTACAGGCATGAGTCACCGCACCTGGTCATTCTTTACATTTTTAAAGAGTTTTTACAAACAAAACAAAAAATAAAATATTTGCTGTCTGGCCCTTGACAGAATAAGTTTACCATCTCCAAACCCCGCCACTGACTCCTGCCAGGGCCAGCTGTGAAAAGCAGAAAGAAGGGACAGATCAGACAGCCGAGAATTGTCCACTTCTGCCCACGAGGCCAAGCGCCATCCATCACAAACTTCTAAACGCCAAGGCTGGGAAAGTTAAGTGATTTCTACTCCAGCTCAGTGAGGCGAGGTCAGGGGCCGGCCAGAGAATGGATGTCCTCTCGCACCAAAGAGAACGGAGTCATCGCCCAGTCTCTACCATTAGCCATTGCTCATCCGGCTGTTTAGGAAGCAGGGGAACTAATTTTGCCGGTTCCACATGTGGTGTTTTATGAAATAAGGGGAGAGGAAGGGCCTGTTTATCAGTCAGTGCTCCTGGCTGCAAATGACAAAATTTCCAATTCAAAGCGGCCGAAGTGACAGAAAGAGTTTATTTATCAGCTCATGTTACTGAAAAGTCGGGCGGGGGAGTGAACTCCAGGCACAGCTGGATCCAGGGACTCACAATGGCACCATCAGGACGCATTCTCTCCATTCCTCTGGGCTTTGGTGCGGAGGGGGGTGGGTGTTGTTTGTTTTTGAGATGGAGTCTCACTTTTGTCACCCAGACTGGAGTGCAGTCTCGTAGTCTCGGCTCATTGCAAACTCCACCTCCCGAATTCAAGCAATTCTCCTGCCTCAGCCTCCCAAGTAGCTGGGATTACAGGCACCCACTACCACACCCAGCTAATTTTTGTGTTTTTTTGGTAGAGGCGGGGTCTCAAACTCCTGACGTCAGGTGATCCTCCTGGCTTGGCCTCCCAGAGGCTGAGATTACAAACTGAGCCACCAAGCCCCGCCCTCTGGGTTGGTTTTATTCTCAGGCAGGCACGCCCTTCCTGAGGCGACAATCTCATTGAGCCCTGACTGCATCATGTGACCCTCCTTTGGCCCAATGTCTGCAGTCAGAGGATGGGATGATCTGATTGGCCAGGCCTTGGTCATGTGCTCTGCCAGGAGCCAGGGAGGCGGGGTCAACCCCACCTGAACTACAGATGGTGAGAGAAAAGAAGAAAACTCTTTCCCCGGGCAAGATCCCAAGCACCGTCACCAGGAGGAACAGATGCTGAGCTGGTAAAAGCAACGGCTGCCCCCAGCAGAAGCAAACCCATGTTTCCCAGCCCCCTGGCTAAGTCTCACCACCACCCATTTTACAGCTGAGTAAACTGGGGTCTTGGAGGTGAATTCAGTCTCCCGGTGATGCAGTCGGCACACCAGTCCTAATCTGGGTCTGATTCGTGCTCAGGCTGTTCATAATCCTGCCCTCCAAGAACCCTGCAAACAGTTGGTGTGCAATTAATGCACATCACATCGAATTGTTGTTAAGAGTCTGCCTCTGCCCACTGGACCATAAGATGCCTGAGGGCAGAGACCATGTCTGTCCTGTTCACTGCGGCACCCCAACACACGGCGCGTAGTAGGTGCCCCACCAATGCTTGGTAAATGAATGAATGAGCCCATGGCGCATAGTACATGCTCCACAAATACTGGATAAACACATGTATCTCTGTGGATGCTCACAAATACTTGGTAAGTGAATGCAAGTCTCTAGTGCCTCACGCACAGTAGGTGCTCCACAAACAGTGTTAAATGAACAGATTCTTAGTGCCTGCACATAGTGGGCGCTTAGTAAATATTTAGTGAACCAATTAGTGAATCTCGATGGGAACCAAGCTGCCTGAGTGCTCAAACATTTCCAGATCATTAACAAGAGAGAGAGAGGGAGAGAGATTAGGGGGCTGGTGGGGGGAAATGAATAAATGAAAAATGAATGAATGAATGACAGAAACCTTTGCGGGACTCCAGTGTCCGGACAAGGATCCACAGTCCCTGCAGCTCCACAGTGAGCATCAAGGTTGCTTGGAAGGAAAACCCAGTTTTGGAAAGGCGCTGGATCTTTGTGAGCTAAGAGAGGGGGCCGCGGGGCTGGCAGCAGAGTCAGGAGGAAGGGAGGTCAGCCAGGGCGGGTGAGCAACGGGCCGTGCCAGGGACACCGTGCCCCGGGCAGGGCCTACTCCCGCTGCCCCGACCTTGCCTCCCGAATTCCACAATAGAGCATCCATTGTAAGTGGGTAATTGGGTTCTGGCGCATCCCCTCCCCTGGCTGGGGGTGGAGGCAAAGGGAAACACAGTCTGTTTTCTATTTGTCACGGCTGCCAAGACCACTCCCTCCCCCAGCCTCCGCTCCAGGCTGGCCGCTGAGCCACAGCCGCTGCGGACATTCCTCAGCCTGGGCTGAGCCTGCCTTCAGAGCTGCCCACCCCTGCTGGCTGACCCAAGAGAAATGACATGACAGAGACCTAGAAACAGCCTCAGGGGCCTTCTGGCCTCATTCCCCAGCCTCCCCCATGGGAAGCCAAAACTCTCACTAGAGTCTTTCCACCCCAAGGGAAACTCACATCCTGGCTCCTTTCCTTTTTAGCTGTGTGACCTTAAGCCAGTCACTCAGCCTCTCTGTGCCTATTTCCTCCTCTGTAAAATGGGGAGGACATCAATGCTAAAAGCTCAAGCCTGTAATCCCAGCACTTTGGGAGGCCGAGGCGGGTGGATCATGAGGTCAAGAGATCGAGACCATCCTGGTCAACATGGTGAAACCCCGTCTCTACTAAAAATACCAAAAAAAAAAAATTAGCCAGGCATGGTGGCACGTGCCTGTAATCCCAGCTACTCAGGAGGCTGAGGCAGGAGAATTGCCTGATCCCTGGAGGTGGAGGTTGCGGTGAGCCGAGATCGCGCCATTGCACTCCAGCCTGGGTAACAAGAGGGAAA